CTAATCGATTATTAAATTAGTCATCGATTTATTTTAATAATCGATTAGTCGTCGATTAATCGATTAATTGTGGCAGCATTAATACACTTTGACCTATGCAGGTAACTTGAAAGCAGATGTTTCTTACTGACATGATAAAGCTCAGGTGTGTCTGACCWGCAGGACTGGTCAACATGTTGGTGAAAGTCGTTCATATCAGAGCTGTCTCAGAACTAATCTAAAATCATGTTTTGTTTGTTTTAAAGTAAAAGAACAAGATCATAACAAGCAGTGATAGTTTGTCAAGTTTCAGATTAAAAGCATCTTAATTTCCTGTTTGTTTGTAAATAAATAAAGATGTTCTGTGGAAACAAAAACAGTCAATTTGAAAGGAAAGGGAACAATAAAAAAAACTGAGTTGTTTTGAAAACCTCTTTATTTCTGTTTGCTTATTAATCTTTATTTAACGAGGCAGGCCAAATGAGAAACCGGTTCTCCTGCACTGCTGGGTTCCACAGAAATGATAAAAGCATAAAAACAAAATTTCTACAACATATTGCCACCAGGGGAGACTGAGTTCTAAAACTCATGTTTCTCAGTTGAAATGATGGTTTTGGTCACATTTCCTCTCAGATGCAGTTTGTTTGTGTTTTCAGTAGAAGATGAGCTCTTTGCTGTTGCTCCTGTCGTTAATCTGTGTGCCGATCAAACAGSTTAATGCTGCTGCCGGCACAAAGCACAGGTCACTGCTTTCATCTGGTAATTTATTGCTGCTGGCTGTTAGGACCCCCCCTCCCCCTCTCAGGGCTGATTGAATTGGAGGTTGAGGCTGAACTCGTTTCCCTCGTGTCTTTTTTTTTAAACTAAAACAGATTAATAAACTGCGACGTATTAATCGGGCATCTTTTGAGCAACRTTAGGTTTTGTTTTCTCCTGATCCCCTCGGCTCATCTGCATTTTCTCTCCTGAGAACAGAGCGGCTTTGATAAAGGAAATCAATGTGGGGAAACAGTTTTTTTTCCTGGATTCGGTTCTTTGCAGGGTTTGATAAACGTCACTTTTCTCTCAGCGGAGATGCGACACAAACTCAATCACTGCTTGTTGTTCTGAGAAAAACTATTTTTAAAGACAAAATGACAGAGTTGGATTTAATGTACATTTTAGGGATCGTGTGCAATTAGTCGTCAGAAAAACAATCTATTTATTTATTTATTTTTTGGCACTTGACGATTAATATGATTAATGCCACCAGGCAGACTGACTGGTGCTCCTCTCCTCTTCAAATATGACGAACATTTAAAAAAAAATTATAATTTTATTTATCTATCAAACCAATTTTTAAAATTTTATGTGTAGATGTACAGTCTGAAATCTGTAATTTTGACACAATTTGGAACAGATTTTTATGAAGAGCAAATCTTTCCCACTAAATTGTTCATGTGACTATAGGACATAAGGGTGTTCAGGGACTCCAGGGGATTAATCATCTTAATAATAATCAGCTAAATGCCACAATTAATCGTGATAATTTTTTTGCCAATATTGCCCAACATTTCTGAGGAAAATTAATAAAAGCAGGAGTTTTGCTGAGGGATGATGGGGGGAAAGTGGACATTTTTCATGTTTGAGGTGAAAAAACTGAAACTCATGAGTGTAGAAACTATGTTCGTATTTGTTCAATAAGTCTGATCAGATTTATAAATCTTGTGTTTACAGCGAGACTCATATTTATTCCTTCTCTGGGTGGTTTTGAGGGTTTTTTGCTCACCTGTCGTCTCCAGTTCACAGGTGTGATCCTGCTGGCTGTGGGGGTGTGGGGGAAGGTCAGCCTGGAGGCCTACTTCTCCCTGGTTTCTGACGAGAGCACCAACGCGCCGTACGTCCTGATCGGGACCGGCGCCATCATCGTTATTTTCGGCCTGTTCGGCTGCTTCGCCACGTGCCGCGGCAGCCCCTGGATGCTGAAGCTGGTCAGTCGGTGAGACGGTTTAACTCCTCCCCTCGAGGCGACCCGCTCTCACCTGTTCCCCTCTGTTCTCACAGTATGCCATGTTTCTGACACTGGTGTTCCTGGCGGAGCTCGTGGCCGGAGTCTCAGGCTTCATCTTCAGACACGAGGTTATAAAAATCATCAAAATAGATTTTTTTTAGTGGTTTTGGTTTAAATTTTTGTGCTTCCAACACAAAATTCATRTAAAAACATTGAAAAACCCCATATTCTTTCAGCTGTTTTGGCTTTAATGTTTAATTTGTGTTGAACTCGACAGATTAAGGCCAAAATCGGWGTCGCTTATGAAAACGCTGTGTTGTCCTACAACCAAACTGACAGCAAAAGCGAAGCGGTCGACAACCTCCAGAGGAAGGTGAGGCGTTTTCTGCTCCTGCTGCCAGGAATCTGAACATGTTTAGAGATGTCGTTCACCTCTGCTGTCCGTCTCCCAGCTGCATTGCTGCGGCGTGAAAGACTACACGGACTGGAACGTAACGGACTACTTCAGAAATAACGGCATCCCCATGAGCTGCTGCAAAGACAAGTGTTCCCCGGAGAGCCTGAAGGACTTAAACAAGGCCGCAGCGGAGGTTTACACCACGGTGAGTTGGACTGAAGTTGACCCTGAAGAAATGTCCCGCTGAAAGTTTAACGTTTGGTTTTCCTGGCGGTGCAGGGCTGCTTCTCTCTGGTCACCAAAGTCCTGGAAGGCAACCTGGGAGTCGTGGCTGGGGTCTCTTTTGGCATCGCTTTCTTTCAGGTAATTTATTATTATTATTATTATT